TTTAAGTGACCCAGAGGCATTGATATTTAGCACTATCAATTTATGTCTTGATAAGCAGTTGATCTGGTAGCAGAATTAAACTAATTAAAATATCTAATTAGAAAGAATCAAAGAAAGTTTAATTAGATTAAATAACTTTTTTTTTCAAGTCAAGCTTGATTTCTGGTGACTACGTATCATTTACATTAGCCTAGTAGACAGCAGCATTTCTATCAGATTGTAACAGTGTAAATTCTCCTAAATTTGGGGGAGACAGTCCAGTCATCAGGAGACCATTAATTCCAAGGGAAATTATTCCAAGGGAATTGATTTGTTCTCCTTTCCTATTTTGTTTTATTAGAATTAGTAGAACTAGATGAATTATTCATCTAGCATGATTATTTTTATGTCACACCTGTGCCCAACTGTGAAACATTTTATCCTTCGGTGGACTCTCCTCAAATAATATTTTCAACCTTGAAGGTGAATTCTTTCTCTCCTGTTAAAGAAGAATCATTTGTATGTTCAGTCTATTTGCAGAAATGAAAGTTCAGTGTCATTTTAACCTTGCTAATTTGCAAGGCAGCACAAGCAACTCTGTGTTTCAACCCAACATGGAGCAAAGGGATGAGTGTTGGAATTGCTGATAGCACGGTTTGTGTGAGGGGAATAATACATAATGAAAACTAACCATTACATTACTGACAAACTGTACTGAAGACACAATATCAGAGATTATTTCTATTTACAATCTGTGGTGATTATTGTCATGTAGTTAATAACCATCTTTTAGCAAGTAACACTAACTCCTAACATACTTTGTTTGTTTTTGGCTTAGCATGATGCATGAACCCACTTTTTATGATTTACCATTATGGATATAATGTGGCTTATTCAACAAGCCATGTGAAAATATTCTGGTTTAGCATTATATGTGAATGCAGCATGAAGAAAGAGAGGTGATACACTCCTGGTATTAAGGGGTTTGGGTCCAGGGACTTCAGTATATTTCTTTACTGTCCAAAAGTTATTCGGGCAAGCCAGCAAGAACTCGTTAGTTGTTGAAAAAGTGAGTTATTTGGATGGCATCTAATTCTTTTTGTGAATCACAGAGACCATTATGAAGACATTATGCATGAAATTTCTGGATCAAAACACTACGGGAGGGAGGGAGAGAGGGAGAGAGAGAGAAATATGCTGTGTGTGCATGTATGTGCAGGATGACCTAGATCAAAGGTTCCCAAAGTGGGGGAGGGGGTTGAAGAAATTTCAGCAAAAGGATGTGAAATTTTTAGAATGATACACATAGTGGGAAAACTGATGGGGGTGAGCAGGATGATAAATACAAAAGTTGCAAAAATATGCAGAGGGAAGATTGGAAGTGGGTATCTGAATGGGAAGAAGAAAGGGAAGGCACTGCAAAGATCAACAGCGGTTGTGCAGCAGGAAAATTAATGGGTGTGCAGAAGGAAGATTGGGTCTCAGAGGCTGATGGGAAGATTGCTGGCAGATTGCTGGGAAGATGGGTTGATGGCTGTAGTAGACATTTGAATGGGAAAAGTTAGGGTTTCTAAAAATCAAACAGGACCGTGATCTGAAATGATTAGGAATCTTTGATCTAGATTTTTTCCAATGTGTAGGGTTCTATGACTCCTACATTTCCCACCCACATTTCTATTTTCATTAAGATACTTTGAGAGAAAGGACTTCCGGGTGGAAACATGGTAGACTAGCACATCTCTGTGAAACAGTGGGGATGGTGCACAGGCAAAGACTGACAGCTGGGTAATATGCCCGAACTAACAGGGCTTCTCTGGACAAGGAGAAGCCATGAGACTGCCCCCACGTGCTCAGTGGGGGGAGGGGGAAGCTCCTCGTGAGGAAGCCTGCAGGGTGCACAGGGACCCTGTAGGTGACCTGTGGGTAGAGTGCTGGGAGCCACAGGAGAAGACACCATGCACACAGCCTCGTGCAAAGCCTGCTTAGAGGACACTGGGTCTGCCCAATCCACTTCCTAAAGCACATTTAAATGGAGCAAATTTAAAGTGAAAAGAGACCTTCAGAGCAGCAGAGCACCTAAAGCTATCTAGATGAATGTACCTTCAATCTGGGAATGATTAAATTAAAAGGGAAGGAACCAGTTAGAATTAAATGCGAAAAGCTTACCGGGATTTTGGAATAAGAAAATTAAAAAATGGACTAAAGGGGCAGTTAAATTAAATAAACAGATAATACCTATCTCTGCGAGAAATAAGAATGCTTCAATTTGTCAAGGAAGCTGATTGACTGTGTCAAACAAAGAGATAAGCAGAAAAAGAAGGGAAACATGACATTCTGGGAAGACCGTGTGATTACGGAAGTATAGAGTGCTGAAAGGGACTAAAGCGTTATGGACGTGGGGGGAAAAGCCTCTTTTATTTTTTTCTCCCCTGTTATGGATTACAAATTTAAAATAAAGAAAAATGTATTATTAAAGGGAGTGAAAGTTATAGAAGGGAGGAGAGGATTGTTGGACCACTCCAGAAGAATATATTTGTTTATGACAAATTCATAGAAGAGGATACCATTCCGTCAGCAGCAAGATTGTTATATGTATATAAAATGGAGATATATTGAAGTACCCACAATGGAAGATAAAATAACAAGTACTTTTGCAGAATACTGAACCTTTTTTCGACTTTTTGCTGAAAATGGAAAGAGCCAAAATGATTATTTTTAGACTGGAGGATTGAAAATGTGTTGAATAAAGGGATGAAGGGATTATCATTATGTTTAAGAGGGAGGAGGGATAACAATTTTTATAACTGCTATAATGAAGGTCAGAAGACATTTCTTTAAATATCTTTTTTTTTCTTTTAACTGCATTGTTTTCTGCACTTTTTTCTTTTCTTTCCTTCTCTTATATATTTTTTATTTTCTTTTATTCAAGTAAAAATTCTCAATAAAATTATTTTTAAAAAAGATACTTTGAGAGAACATGGCTAAAAACAAATACCTGAGATTTTGTCTTCTAATTTACCAAGAAAGTCTCTGTCTTTCTCAAACTGCATTAGTTTATTTCACAAATTTCAATTCAAGAAGAGACATCAAGGGACAAAGTTATGGACTATCAGTAAGTGCTCCTGCTATCTTCCTTAACTTGTTAGTCACATGCATATTCCACTAGAATATCTCAAGCATACAGTAAATGGTACCTATTAGGCATATATCTAATGCTAGATCACATTGGACAGAGAAAGGAGAACAATTTCTAGTGAGATGGTACACCATTAAGATAACTATGAAGGCCCTCCACTAAATGGGAAAAGCAATATAGTAGATATCACAAGGGCCCATCCTCATCAGCAATTATCTGGGATTCTTACTGGGCCTTCAGAATTGTTCAACAGGTCAACTTTCTAAGAGATGGACCCAGCTTTAGATAATATCCTGGTGATGTGCGGACAATGGAAGCTCAGTCTCTGTCTTCATTTGACCATGAACTCACAGGCACTTTTCAAGACCTCTGTAGCTTTTAGAAAAGATTCCATTGAAAACACTTCAAAAGCAAGCTCAGAAATCTTTAGAATAATAAATGCTTAACAGTAGGCCAACCTTTTCTCAAAGGTTTTCAAATCAAAAACAAGAATTCTATTATGGGCTGAAGTGATTTACCAGACAACCTTTTCTAAAATAAACATGCCTTTTTGTTTACAATTTAAACATCTGCTACATGTCTTACAAACATTTGCATTTCTATAATACCAAGAAATGTGTTGCTGTTTTTTTTTGTTTTTTTTAAACAAAAGGCTTTAAAGTGTGCCTATTTCTACACTGGCTTACACTAGCAGGTTTATATATCTCAGCATTCAAAGAAAAGAAGATGTTGCTGTGATTACATAAAGAAATGGGCTTACACTGGCAATTTCCCAACCCAGCTGAACAAAGAGAAAGCACAGGATGGTACCAAGTAATCTCGTGCAATCAGTAACTTAAAAAGCTAGCAACTTCCAAACATTCTCCCTATACTTCTAAACTTCATGGTTTTACATTATTTGCCTTACTTTCCAATGCAAGATATTAAAATGAGTTAAGACAACTGCTATCTCAGAGAAAAGACAGCCAGAATTAATAGTCGTATGCAACACATGTATACTCTGATTCTCCTTAGGAACTTAAGGCAGCTCACACAGCACTTCTTTCTCCAATTTACCCCCCCAAAATTACTTGTGAGGCAGACTGAGCTAAGAGACAGCTATTGGCTCAAAGCCACTCAGTGAGCTCCCAAGTCTGAGGTTGGATTTGAACCAACATCTCCCCAGGCCTAGCCCAACACTGTAACTACTGCACTATGCGTTATTCAATTCTATCTATGATTCACAGTTACAATATATTCCAAGCAATGAAGAGGGGAAAGGAAAAGAAAGATACGGAGAATCTCATGGATTGTTGAAGAGTTTTCACTTGGCTCCGAATATCTATTTGCAAAAAAAGGGAGAGAGAGAGAAGGCAGAGAATGTAGTACACATACTTAGAATTGTCACATTAAGACGACTTTTACTGTAGGATGTGCATGCACACACGTTGAGAATTTTTACAGGCAGACAAGCAGAAAACTAGCATTTTCTGAAGTTGTAAGATAAAGATTTCTTATAATCTTATTATACACAATGTAACTTAAATACAAACCTATGATCAGTATTTTACTCAATGTAACACTTTCACATAGACTATTTCTATATATACAGCTACATGATATTGGTCAGGATGGATTACGCAAACTGCTCAAATTGGTTGGTATAATGTAATACTTAGTACTACAAGTGGCAAGTTAAAATATCCTTCTGCCACATAATTAAATGGTCTTAAAAAAACTATTCTTTCTCAGCCTCCACCTTTGACTAAGGGCCTAATTGTGCTAGGCAACATTCAAAGAGCATTGCCTTCCATGCCAGCTCTGTCAATCATCCTGGTTGTCTACAGGATGATTGACAGGATGCTAGTGATCTGCATAATTAGAAAAATGTTAAACCTCCACTTACTTTTGAAGCTTGTCGAAGCCACCGTAGGTACTCAGTGAAAGTGTCAAAGCAGATGTAATAACTCTGACTCTGAGGTCCAGAGGAACTAAATGCTAAACAGTGCTGGTGTTTTTTAACTTCTTCTACCTGCATGGGGATGGAGGGAAATAGAAATATTTTTAAAAATAGAACTTCTAAGACAGAGGTTGAACCTCTAAAATGTTAATTCATTAGAAATATAATTAAGAAAAAAACCCACAAAGATAAATAGGCTGTCAGCATAACAAAAGAAATGTATACATTTAATAATAGGAATATGAAGTTGCAAAGTTTAGCTCATTTCATTGTGCCAAAACAAACCAAAAGCCCTAATAAGTCTTCAGGTCATATTTTATTTATTTATTTATTCATGTATCTGAGACTAAGCCTCAAATATTATAATGGCCATAATTCAAGCATATGATACATGGGATTTCACTGTCAATTGAGCAGCTGTAGGAGAATTCTCAACACTTCATTTTACTTTTACTGCAAGACCTAACTAACAAATTGTCAAGAAACAGCACTTTTGTTTTTCCTGTTCACTATATACATCATATTTAGATGAATGCAGATATACAAAGCTGAAGTTCAAATACAGTGGTATGTAACCTGTACTCCTGATGTAGAGGGGAACATACAAATTAGCTGGTATCTTCCAAGATACATGAAAAATGCTTAGTAATGCATCCCCCAACCTCCAATTTGATTTCCAGAAATGTTGCATATCAGATTCTACCTTCTCTCTTTACTAGTAAACAATCAAGTCTCTTATGATCAAGCATACTTAAATCTAAAAATGTTATATGAAAGTCTAATATGCGCCAGAACAACAACATACTGAGGTTTTTTCCCAAACAGATTATATTCATCTTTCCAAGGATGAATGAAAAGTTCAAATGAATTGTACTTTTCATGCCTATTTGGTCCAGCATTCTCTTTCCTACATGCCACTGGGAAGCCAGTGTAGGGTATTAGGACTTGCTCAGCAAGTAACACTGGGAAGCATCTGCTTCTAAATCCCTAAGTAGTATATAGCTATCATGGCTGGTAGCAACGACTGGAGTAAGGTTTGCAAAGAGAAGGCAAACTCTATACAAGGCTTCTGTTTCAGAGGCAGTTCTGTTCACTGTAATACGTAATACAATTCTTGGAGAAAAGTATCCACTCTGTTAATGTGCTAGATCAGCTTTCCACATCTTGATGTTCTCCAATATCCATGATGAAATAAAGATGGGAGGATTCAGTATTCAACATGGTTGGAAAACACCATGATGGAAATGCTAACTTGGTTTGCCATGATTGCTGAATACCTACAATTCTTTGAATGATTAACAAGGCACAAGGACAATTGAAAAGATGTAAACCTGTGTCTTTTGGAAAACACTTGCTTCTGCATAGGGAATAACACAATTACCAAGTTGATGGATGCAATCAAGAAAATATTTTGCCAGCAAAGGGACTGAATTGCTGGTCAACATGTGATTGTACCTCAAGCAGGCAAATCCATTCTATGGCAAATGCACTGAGGAACATGGCTGCTTAATCATCACAAGGACTCATTGGGCAGCATTAATGAAATTACCAATGACTTACGACACAACCTCTCTTCCCATGCCTGTAACTTTTAGTTACTGTATAGTGAGCACAATGTTATAGTACCAGGGAAATCTGGTCATCTTGTGGCTTCAACGATAATAATAACCAAGAGAGGACAATAACATTGATCACTGAACTCCAAATGGCTGATACAGGATTCCTGCTTTTAGATGCTAATAAAGCTGGATATATTTAAAAGGCAACACTATTCCACACCCTCAGAACATTCTTTATGTTCTATAGCTTAAATCAGAACCTCACAGCCTAAAGATTAGGTCAACAGAGTGTGACTTAAATGGGGTTATGTATGTCTAAGCATCAGAACTGTTTTCAACATTGAAACAACTGGGTCTCACAACAAGAAACCTATGGATTAGCTTGGCTCACTAGAAATAGACTGTGGGCATTCTTCTCTTGTTTGAGATTATGCTTATGTCTCCATGAGTAGCCACTGATTAAAAGCCCAGATCAGGGAGGTTTGATTGGAGAATGTATGCTACCTATGTTCCCAACTTATTCCCCAAGCGTAATAGAAAATCAGTCACTGCCTTCAAGAGCAAACAGTCTGCGGGGGAAAAAAAAGTGATATGCAAAACAACCCCCTTTACTGATAAATACAAAATGAATATGCCACCTAAAAACAACAATTGCACATTATTTGGCCAAATAAAGAAGAAGATTATAGTGAAACTGAAAACCTCACTAGCACATATCCTATTGTACAAAGATGGATATCTATACAGTTACTTATATCAACTCCATTGCCTGATACAGTTTCTTGGTTTTAAATCTGCTATTACAGACTCCAGGTTTACTTATTTTGGATACCAGAGGCTACAGATACATACACACACGCAAACATTTAGCTATACAGGTAGTCCTCAACTTACCACCACAATTGGGACTGGAATTTCCATTGCTAAGGCCAGAAGCCATGTGTAGCAAGCATTCGTCAGAGAAGCTGAGTCAACCTCCAGCACTTTCCCATTGGGCAAAACTGCTTCCAGCCTTCCCCATTGTCTGGCACTCTTATTTGTGCTCATCGAAGAAGCTGAGCTGCGGCTGCTTTTTATTTTTATTTTTTTTGTTTCACAGCATGAAAAGGCACCAAAGAGTGTTTGCCCTGGGAAGTATCTTGTGGAAGTTGAATCCTCACTCAAGTGTGGCCTTTTAGGGACAGTCCCTCTCCCTTTGGATGGGGAGACAAAGAAGGTGGTGGCAGCAGTCCTTGCAGAAACGGAGCCCCGCATGGGAGGCTGCATTTGCTCTGCTAGCAACCCCCCATTTGCGTGCTCATTGGCTGCAAGGAGCCCAAAGCCCAAACCCTCTTCGAGGTCTTTTTTCCAAACTGGAGGGTTGGATAGGGGGAGGAAGTATGGACTTCAGTTTGCCTCATTTCCTTGGGTCTTCCTTTGGCAGGAAAACCCAATAGGTGAATGAGGGTTGGGAAGAGGGGCGAGGAGGCACAGAGAGGAGTAGAGTAGCAAGGTCAGACCCCAGTTTGGCTCAGTTCTGCTGGATCCCTTCCTTACAACTCCCAGGCAGTTCCAATCCGCGGGTGCAGTCGAGGCAGCTTTTTGGCACGCTGTGGCTCAGGGGCTGCTTGCTGCCCCACAAGGCAGGGTGCAGGGTGGCCGAAAGGGCAGAGATGGGGGGAGGTAGGTGGGTGGGTGGAGTTGAAGCACCCCTGTGGTAAGTGCGGGTGGGCTGCTAAGTGCCTGAATTTTGATCACGTGACCGCAGAGGTGCTGCAACAGCCATAACTTCCGGCACGGGTCATAAGTCCCTTCATTCAGTGCCGCTGTAACTTTGAACAGTCGCTGAACGAATGGTCGTTAGGTCGAGGACTACCTGTACTAATAATGAGGTTTCCAACATATTATGTTTTTCTATGCAATTGCTTTTTTGAGCAAAAATAACAAATATGGATTGATAACTATTCTTAAGATTACAAATGTGCTTATACTTACTCCTAAACATGATGTGTTTTGCTTCTTAAACATTGCTCTTGCATTTTTTGTTGGTTTCTTTTATTCCTTATTATGCTATTTTTTAAAATTTTGCTTTTGACAATGTACTTTTCATTTTAATTATAATAAAAGTAAATATATATAACTATATATACAAATACAGTGAAATTGTCAACTTGCCTTTCCACCAATTAAGGGGAGCACATGCATTTTTCCGGTCTGGCTCTCTTTCACTGATGACACTATTAGGCACGTCCCGCAAAGGATAACTTGGCGTCTTGTCCATCTGTTGACTGGCAAATGCATTTTCCCTTTTCTAACATTGTACATTCCTGAGAGCTGAATCCGTTCAGAGTTACCAGTGCTGTGGGGCTTTCCTGAAATGGAAACAGCAAGCAGCTTTATCAGTCAGTGTGCTTTTCCAACTCCTCTTCAAAATGCATTAGACAGCACAACAAAATGAAGGCCATATCCCCAAAGATAGATTCAAAGACCAGCATAACTTCAAATACATGAAAAATTACTGTCCTGCAAATTGCTTTTTCAAAATTTTAGCTCCAGGAATATATATATTTTTTTTTAGGGGTAATAATCTTTACACGCAAATAACCATGTGAATATAAAAATCTCTGAACAGATTTGCAAATGTTCTGGTTCCCAGGGACTCTGCGGTAGCTTAAATTGCATCAGAAGCATAAGAAATGTATCAAAGACAGCAGGACAGAAGACAGAGTCCTTTGCTGTGGTGCCTTTTACTAGAACCCAAACTCTATTTGATGTGCGTTCTTACAACTCAAGGTTGAGACAGTCACTTGACAGAGGTTTTAAAAAACAGAAAAGGTTTAATTAAATACCAAAATCACATCAGGGATGAACATCTAAACTTTCAAAAAACAAAAAAACCCTCAAGATTAAACTATTATTAGAAAGCCTTCTGAAGAAAGAACTTACCGAATACCAATTCCAATGTTCTGATACAATGCTCAAAAGAAGGAGGGTCTTAAAAGAAATAATGAACATTGTCTGCTGCATCTCTGCCTGCTTAACACAATATGGACCATGAAACACCCAAAGAATTTGATTATGATGGGACAACTCTCATTTATATTACAGCAGCAAGACTTTCCCACATAACACATAGTACACCATTTCTTTAGACAATTTCCTTACTAAGAAGGCCAAAGGTGAAAAATGTGAGAATGCTACGTAGCATTCCAGTTACAGGAACCATGGACGATAAGTTAGATAGCACTAATTAATGAGATGAAGCAAGCTCTGCCAAGATTTTGCTGGACGAGCAATTTTCACTCATTGTCCTGGCCTCAATATCAGACAATAGCCTTCTATTTGACTTTTGCCATGCTGTGCCTATTTCTGATCTGCAAAAGCACAGAGTCCACTATTTCATGGGCATATTGCCTGTACTAGCTGGATGTTCCTTCAGAGTTACAGAAATGGCATCTCAGTTAATTCTGCCATGGCCAAGATATGCCCAAAATAAACAACAGAGATATTTCTCTCTTATCCCCTCTCAGTCAAAACTGCTTTAAAATTTTACCAACCAGAATCTTCATATTCCATCAGACTTAATAATAAAATAGGATTTAATACAACATAGTAAAAATGAGAATACTAGCAGTACTACTATTTACCATAGTAGACTAATCCAGTAGTAATATACTAGCTTAAGCTGGAATGGCCAAAAGATACTACCTAAGTTACAAAAGCAGAATTGGTCCTGTCATCAGGAGGAATAAACTAGAAACAGAAGAGTGTAAAGTATGATTACAAGCTGAGCAATGTTTCATGGATTTAATTTAAAACATGTATTTAAAACCAATCAGTACAAAAAATTATTCCATTTGATTTTTCTGCTTCTGCTTAAGGTAACAAAATTAATTACGCCATCATGGAGCAAAATCAATGGGTTTGGTTTTGAACAGAAAGTCCATTTGGGATTGTGAAATATACCCCAAAGCATACCCGAGATCCTGGTAACTGGGTGGTATATAAATATATCTAATAAATAAAAGAAACAGACTTTTTTTATAGAAAAGATTTTTTTAAACTATGTACAGCAAAATCTGTGTATCTCACCTAAGGATACTGGGGAAGAGGTAATGAAACACGTCAAGGCACAATGACAAAGCATCAACAAATCTGGCTCTCAAAATATTGGGGAGTGGGAGCCCAATACACAGAAAAGCTGGCCTCTTCCTTTTGTGATCCAAGTTTCTCTCTCAGCCACTTTTTGGTCTTTTAAATCATGGTAGCTTTTGATTTGTAACTCTGCTCTTATTTTTAAAAAGCACATTCTATCACTATGGCTACTTCATTTTTTCACTGGAACACATACAGTTTGCAGTGACACCAACTATTTATTTTGCCAACATTCAGTGAAATGCCCACTCCCCAAATTGCTGCCCACTTAAAGCACACACACATCCAAAGAGGACAATTCAGGTCAGCAATGTCAACTACCACTGGGTTGAAAAACTGAAGCAATTAATCATCCTACAGTATTCATCATCCTACAGTATTTGCAAAATTTGCAATACTAAACTGACATTAAGGTTCTTTTTTTATCTCATTTTTGGATTTGCAGGATAATTTCACCAAATAACTAAGTTGATGTATCACAACAGACAAGATATCTTCATTCCTCCTGCCTCCTAGATGCAAGACTATTACCCCCAGACTTTTATACCTGTAAATAGGTAATCTGTAAGGAGGGTAATTGACATACATCCTCCTATGCCCACAAAACGTTATTATAAACTGGGCATAATCCACTGTGAACACAAAGGAGAACATCTTATTCTTCAGAATGAATTAATGGTAGAACTTCAGGGGTTCCAGCCAAACTGGGTGAGATTCTATGCTGTACTTTCAATAGATCTACAGAGCATCAGTTTGGAAAAGCCTATTTTATAACCACATGTAACCTTTGTCTCACTTTTTTATATATAAAAACCAAGCTACAAGATCAGCAAAAAGGCAAGCTGGTACATACCAATATACTTTGTATAAACAACTCTCTCCCACTAAAAAAAGAAAATGAAGAACTGCTCTGGTGTGTTAAATAATCAATATATGTGGTCACAGGACAATCAAGTAATTAAACAAAGAATTGCTAAATGGTAAGAACTTTATTCCCCTAGAATTCTAAAATAAGATAGTTGTAAAAAGTCACAAAGATGAGGGATTTTAAATATAATTAATTTTCAAAACTAAATCTTCAAAGGACTAAAGCTTTGTTGGTGTTCTGTAACTTTGAAGTAGATGAGAGAAGGAGACTGGCAATTACCAGAAAAGAATTTAAGATTTAAAGGAGTCTGAGAAGGCAAAAATGGAATAAATACAGTGCATTCGGAAAGTATTCAGACTCCCTTCACTTTTTTCAATTTTCTTATGTTGCAGCCTGATACTACAGACATTCAAATTCATTTTTTTCCTCATTAATCTACACTCAGTACCCCATAATG